TATAAGGTATGGTAGGCAAGTTAATGGCCCTCCAAGAGATGTCTCACCCTAATCCCTGGAGCCCATGAATGTTGTCTTACAGGGCAAAAGAGACTTTATAGTGTGATTCGATGAAGGAGTTTCAGATGGGAGACTGTATCCTAGATTACCCTGGGCATAATATGCAAGGGTCTTTAAAAGACTAGCGAAAGAGACTCTACGTACCTGGGAATGTGAGCTGCTAGATGTAATTTGTCTATCAAAAAGAGTTCTGGACTTGGCAGCTCGCTTTCTCACTTTCCTTCTCTCTCTCGGTCAACTTCAAAAAAATAAAATAATGTCCATGAGTAAAATTAAATAAAATAACTCTTTAAAAAAAGAGTTCTGGAATCTAGTATGATTCATGAAGAATCCTGTATTTTAAATTTAATCAGTGAGAAAAGTACATGTATTTAGTATTTCATTTTTTTAACCTACAAAATGAGTTATGTTTCACTTTTCTTTCCAAACCTAGGATTATATTAGAGATCTTTAAAATATTTATGGAAAATAGATCTTATAAAAGCTTGCATAGAATTTTTTTGCACCAAAATAAACTTGCTCTTTAACTTGATTTTTCCATGAAATTTTTAATTACCAGAGACTAAGAGAGACAGAGAGAGAGAGAGAAGACTCCAGTGGGGCATGGTCATGCCACAGTCCTTTCTCCATTTTTCTAACCTATCAGGATTTTGGTCATGTAGGCACATGTTTCTGGCATACTTTTTTCATGCTTTTGGGCTGGAATTTGAGCTACAGTTGACCACACGGGATCTGGCTTCCTACACGTAGCACATAACCACTGTACTGCCAGTCTGGCCCTTTCCATAATGTTTTTGAAGTATCTTCAGAAAAAACTAAATTTTTTCTTTTTTAAAATTTGCTTTAGGGCATGTGACTCTCTGGAGAGAGAGAGAGAGAGAGCCCCCCCCCCCTTCCCCAGAGAGAATGGCCATGCTGCAGTTCTGTCTTTGGGAGGATGACCATGCTGCAATCCCATCTCCTTCATTCTCTTCTGAGGATTTGGAGCATGCACGCACGCGAGATCAGTTCTGTTGTGGCTTTTCTAGCACATGTCTCTGAGTGCCTATGTGGAAGAATTTATCCTTGCAATTTATCTAGGAGGGAAATTTCTGGGTTGTAGGATATCATCACACTGACTGGAAAATGCCAAACTACTTACAAAGTAATTAATCATAGCCCGCCATGTAAGGCCCACACGTGGAGTCCACCACTACTTGGAGATGCCAGACTTACTAATTTTTGCCAACTGAATGAGTGTACTGAGGTTTCTTAAGGTTTTAATTTTCTCTTTTATGATCACTGATGAGTTTGAACACCTTTTCATGTGGGTATAGGCTATTTGGATTTCCTCCTATTCCTTTTATGAAGTGTCTATTCAATCTGTTGCCCTTACTTTTTTATTGGCATTTCTGACTTACCACATTGATGTGTAGTAGTCATTTTACCTTCTGGGTGTGCACCTGTCTTCACTCCTTTATGTCTTTAAACTTTTAACACAGTTTTCAATCCTTCTGCACTATTTTCTAAATGTAATCATTCTAAAACTTAGTGGCTTAAATAGCACTCGTGTTTATTGGGTCGCCGGAAAAGTCATGATGAATTTTTACATAGAAAAACATAAAAAAAAAAAATACGTCATGACTTTTCTGATGACCCAGTATTTTAGTCTGGGCTCGACTTACTGGGCAGTTCAGTCTCCTCCGAACTCTCTCAACATGGCATGACTGAGCTCACAGTCTTTCCACAGCCAGCAGATGAGTCTGGGGTTGTTCACAGGAAGGACAGAGGGTTTTAAGAAAATTGAGCAGAGGTGTGCAAGGTCCCTTGAGGTGGAGGCCCTGAATCCACAGTCTTTCCCCGTATTTTTTTTGTTGTTGTTGTTGTTACAAGGCCATTCCAGATTCAGTGGGTGGGAAAATAGAGTTCAGCTCTCTGTGGGAGGAAATGCAAAGTCATATTGCACACAGATGTGCCGACGAGGAGTGGAGAATGTCCTGTGCTTGCGACCCAGCCTGGAGTACATTATGGTTTGTGCTTCTTCATACTCCAGAGGGAGAAAATTACAATCTTCTTGTCATATTTAGATCTTTTCAGTGTTTTTTGTTTTTTGTTTTTTTTTTTAAACAGAAAAATAATTTGAGACTAGCAAGATAAATGAAAATTAGAGGAAAAAGAAAGTTCTTCAAATGTTGAGAGTGGGTCCAAGGACTTGAGAGAGTGAGAGTGGGACATATTGGCAGTGGGAGAGTCTGTACGTGTGTGAGTGCAGTGGGCCCGTGGGAAGTCTCTGACCCTTCAGCTCAAGTTGGTGTGAACCTAAAGCTGCTGTAAAAATAGTCTGTAAAGCAACAGCACAAACAGGACAGTGGATGAAAGCTGGATTGGGAGGATGCAACTTGTGCTAGAGGGTACCTTGCAAGTCATTATACTTAATGATTAAGGGTAATGATTTGGTTAAAAAAATGAAATAGCAGGATCAGCAGTTGGCCTAATGGCTATGTCACTGGACTCCCATGTCGTTGACCGCGGTTCGAGTCCCGGACCTGGTGGTTTAAACTCACTCTGGGTGGGTGTGCATGCATGCGTGTCTAAGATCCTGAGAAGAAAAGGGATTGCAGCATGTCCATCCTCCTTGAGGGGTATTTCTCCCTTTCTGTCTCTCTGTCTCTTGCTGTTTTTCTGGCGAGCACACATGCCCTATAGCAAAATCCTCTCTCTCTCAAAAAAAGGAGCATTTTCTAATGTAAAAATTAGCATTTTTTGGGTTTTCATTCCTTGTTAACCATAATACAAAAAATAAAAAAGAGAAAATTGTCTCTGTTGTCTCACTATTTTAATAAAAACAATGTTTAGTTTTTTAAAAAATAATTATTTATTTAATTTTATTTATTCATTCATTCATTTTCATTTGACCAGAGAAAGACAGACACATAAAGAGAAGGAAAGTGAGAAAGCAAGCCACTGGGTCTGGGACTCAAACTGTGGTTGGTCAAGTGGGAGTGTCCAGTGCCTTGACCACCACGCCACCTGCTGGCTCAACAATGTTTAGTTTTTATATTGTTTAGTTTACTTTATTGTCCGTGCTTGTTTATTATGTGTGAGTATGCTGAGTAGCAGTTATAGATTTCATTTCAGTGTTTATAGCTTTTCTACCTACTTGGCGTGAATGCTTAACATACTGTGACTCTACCAGTCTTCCCTGCACTGAGACAGTGGATCCCCTTTGTGGATGCAGGAGTTTGTGATCAGCTGCTTAGAAAGAGCTTTAGACCAGGGCGGGACTGTACACTGACCAGGGCATGGACTTTGGACAAGTGACCCTGGTAAAGTTACACCTTCATTGTTGTCATAGGTGTGCAACTATATGCAAAGTACTTAACGTCTCCAAACTTTATGTCCTTTGTAAAGTAGGATAGTAATGTTTATATTATATATCTCTTGAAGATATTGAGTAAGAAAAAAATATATATGGTATGGTGCACAGCTCATAAGATAAATGTTGGCCTATATTAGCAGTAGGGTCTTGCATTATTCTTTTAGCCAGGAAATGAAGTGTGAGGAGGGATCAGGTAGTAGCATGGTAGTAAATCATGGCACTCCGAGCGGCTGACTCCCAAGGGAAGGTTCTGGGTTTGCATAGGGAGACCTCCCTGGGTACTCTGGGCATGTGCATCCCAGTGAGTGGGACTGGCCGAGGCTTTGGGTGGACCATCCTGACAGGCTCCTGTTGGAGTGTTGTCTTTCTGTATCTCTGTGTCTCTGGCTCATGGAAGAGATAAATAAGTACACTTAAAAAATTAAAAAGAAAAATGAGGACACCTATAAGTAGATATTTGCAGAATTAATTCTAGTACCTGACCTGGCCTTTAGTTACTTCCCTGACACTATTTTCTATATTTTCTTTTCTTTTCTTTCTCTCTTTTTTTTTTTTTTTTTTTGAGAGGTTTTTGTTAGATTGCATGCGCTGGCCAGAAAGAGAGAGACAAAGAGATGGAAAGTGAGAAATCACTCCCCGGGGAGATGGCCATGCTGCAATCCCTTCTCCTCTATTCTCCTCTCGGGATATTGGGCACGCACGCACACGTGCCCAGCATGAGTTTAAGCTGCTGGGTCTGGGACTTGAACCACGGTCCACTACATGCGAGTCCAGCGACATAGCTGTTATGCCAACTGTTGGTTCCTCTTTTTTTATTTGAGTCTCGTGGGTGTCTCTTGCTGGGGTGGTTATTTGGCAGTGAGTGAGGAGCACCTGGTTGGCTGACCTCAAGCTTTTGAGACCCGTATGTTTGAATTAATGGCAGGGAACCAGATTGCATCAAACCCTGAGAGGCTCTGTCGGGGGCCGGTGTTCCTGATCCCAGCCTGAACTACAATATCAGACAAGTTTGGACCTGAGTGAGCTGAGGAGGAGAAAATGCTTTAGGGAATCGTGTGCAGTAGTCAGACCTGAGGAAGAAGATGGGGTGGGGAATCATCTCTGGCACCTGTTCCATGCTAGAATGTGGAATAGAAAACGGAGGCAATGCAGAGTGTGTCAGGCTGGGGATAATGGGTCTGTGGGCAAAGGAGCTGGGTCAAGCCTTCTCAGAGCCCTACCGTTTACCAATTCCAGGTGGAATCAGTTTTTTCTCAGCATTGACTTAAAATAAGTCCTTTAGGGGCCAGCAGGTAGTTAAGGTGCTGGACTCCCACATGGCCAACAGCAGTTCAAGTCCAGGACCTGGCAGCTTGAAGGTCACTCTGAGTGTGTGTACATGCATGCCCAAATTTCTGAGAAGAGAATGGAGGAGGGATTGCGCCAGATCCCCTGTGCGGGATGCTTTCTTTCTTTATCTCTCACCGTCTCTTTCTGGTGAGGACATCTGCCCTGCAACAAAAACCTAAAACAAGCAAACAAAAAACCAAACTAAACAAACAAAAAACAAGCCACCTAGTAATCACTCTATCTTTTTTCCTAGGTCTTTCAGCAGCCCAGCGCAAGTTTGCTCATTCACTCAGAGACTTTAAATTCGAGTTTATCGGTGATGCAGAGACTGATGATGAACGCTGCATAGGTACGGGAAGTGAGGGTTGGGCTGCTTTTCTTTGCTGTGGTCACCCAATAATTCTTCTCCTCTTCTTACAGATGCTTCCTTACGTGAGTTTTCAAATTTTTTGAAGAATTTGGAAGAACAGAGAGAAATCATGGTGAGTTGAAGGGCTGTGAATAAGTAAGATTTCAAAGAGGGGCAGTATAGGCCTCAAAGCTGGTTCTGGCAGAAGGTGTGGTATATTAACTGTGGGTGTGGGAGTGCATTGATTGGGAAGGGGTTGAGGTCTCAGGGGCCCTGACTTCTGGTCTCATGATGGTGTTCACCTTGGCAGGTTGTGGAGGAGTTTCTAGACCGTTAGACCCAGGTCCTGGGTCTTCCTGTGTATAGTGGAGGGCTGTGAAGCAGTGTTTCCCAGCTTTTATTTTGTTAGCAGTGAAGCACTTATTTCCATAGACTCTCATGCAGAACCTTAATACATGGAGATGAAAGAGCAAAGGTTATAGTAAGGCAGTGGGACAGCAGGGTGAGGGTAGAGCTCAGTTCAGACTTTGGTAGATTTCTAGGACGTGTGGACAGGGAGAAAACTCAGGCCTGGATATCTTCAAGATCCCACTTTGCATTGCGATTCGGGGTCAGAGCAGTGATGAGAATAGCAACCGGTGCTCCACTGACCACCAAGAGTGGATGATCTTTCTGAACATATACTCAGCAGTGAATCTGAGGGATACTATTTTTCATTTTTCTGATATTCTTTCATGAAAATAAGAGACAGAAAAAGACAAGCACCTTCAACAGGGTCTCACAGCACAATCTCCCCGCCACCTCCCAATTTCCCCAGCCAGCCAGGATCACGGGAGTGTGCATGGTGCGTACAGGTCATCTGGGGAACCAAACCCGTGACCTTTCATATGGGTTCATCATCTCTTGAGCAGTGCACTGTCACTGTGCCATCAAGCTGGCTCAGTATTGGTCCACTTTCTTAAAGGCTTGCATTGGGACCTGCATGTGACGTAATAGTTAAGGTGCTGGACTGCCACATGGTTAACCGTGGTTTGAGTCCTGGACCCAGTGTCTTGAAAATCACGCCAGCCATGTGTGCTTGTGTTCCCAAAATCTCAGGAGGAGAAGGGAGGAGAAGGTATTACAGTGTGGCCATTCCTCCAGGGGGGAGGGGTGTGTTTCTCACTTTGCCTTTCACTGTCTCTCTTTGTCTCTCTCCAGCAAGAGACAGAGAGCCCTATGACAGGAAAAAAAAGCCTTAAACAAATTTAATGGAAATAAAGTATGAGTTTATTTTGTGCAAAAATTTTTGAAATTAATGCTTAATTTTTAAATGTTTGCTTTCCATGAACTTATTGAGGACCCCTTGTACATTAACTGTTAGGTTATCGAAAAAGCCATGATTTGTTTTTCTATGCAAAACTGCATCATGACTTTTCTGACAACCCAATATAATCTCCCAGATGATGACTGGTAAGAGTTTGGTCCTGGTTTTGGCTTGGGGTGGTCCTGGCTTTGGCTTGTGAAAATTGTAGTAGACACAAAGGTAGGGAGAGGACACTGGTTTAGATTATTTAAGAAGTGGCAGAGGGCTAATCCTCTGATGCAGGGGCTAAACATTGTGCATAGGGAGCCAGATCTCACATGGCTGACTGTAGTTCAAATCCTGGCCCAGGTGGCATGACAATTATGCTGGGTATGTGTGCATGAGTGCTGAAAATCCTGATGGGAGGGAGGAAGTGGAGGAAAAGGGACTGCAGTGTAGCCACACCACATTGGAGGTATTCTCTTTTTCTCTTTCTTGAGTACATGGACCTCTGGCTAGGAAAAAAAATAAATAAAGAAAAGGCAAAGACATGTGTTCTCTGAAAGCTCTAATAAAATTTGTACCATTCCCCAAGTTCTGAGATAATTTTTGTATCTTGTAACTACCAGAGGGAGAATATGGAGACACTAATTCTGTTAGGTTTTTCTGGCACATGCTGACAGATTCAGACATTGTTCATGTGGTCCTGTAGTCACTGATTTTTCAGCTCCATAGAAAGATAACATATGAGAGGTAAAAATAGTGCCTTGACGTCACCTTTCTACTACATGTGTGGGTGTGTGAGTTGGTGATGTTCCTGGTATCAGTGTTTTGGTCGTCAGCTCTCTTTGATGATTAGTTGTGCTTCTCTGGGAGCCTGAGCATTCAGCAGATATTCGTTGAACTCCTTTTATGTTCCAGTTGCTGCTTGAACATGTGGAGGCAAACAAACAAGGTCCCTACCTTCTCAGAGATTGCATTCTAGGAAGGGGAAGTGATACATAAATACACATCATCAGGCCATGACTTAAGGGTGAGGAGCCAGAGTTGGGTACGGCAGTGGCAGTAAAACTAGAGAGGTGAATGTTGACAAGCATTGCTGGTCTTTTTAGCAGAGGACCAGGTGAGACATCATCCTGGTGTCTGGAGAAAGAGT